CCATTTGTTCTGCTTTCTTTATTAGGCACACCAATAATGCATATGTTGGATCCTCTCTGCCTATGTTTATTATCTGTATATTAGAAATTTTAGTTGCAAGCCTATGGGAGAAGATTAACTTGAACTAGCCTAAATAAAAGCAATATACTGAAATGACACTAGTGTACCTCATATAACTCCAAAGAGCAGCTGGCCCTCAGGGATAACTAGAACCACAGACTTGAACACCACCACCACCAGGCCTATCTATCTACCCAGGAGTGTCTCAGCTTTTATTTCTTCTTCTACGTGTTAACTTGGCTCTTACCACCACAGACAGACTCGCTTCCTTCACGAGGCAGGAAACATGGCCAACAGCTCCAAAGTCTCACATCCCATGATTCTCACTAGTGAGTGGCTGCCCTGCTTTCCTTAATCCCAATTGTTAAAAATCTTATGTTCCCTTCAAATTATTTAAGTGACTATAAATGTATTTTTCCAGAATTTCTGTTTCCCAAAATAATTCTGAATCTGAAATGTATGCTTAGAGAAAAGCAGTTTAGCCAACTTTGGTTTGCTAATTTATTGCTTATTCATTTCTGTTCATTTGATTCTGGTCAACTTCTACAGAGCTCACTGTCATTTCTTCCCCCTCACTTCATTATACCTTAGAAGTCAAGTATAAAAGGGCACCATTCCCTTCGCCTTATTTCTCCCTCTATTCTAAGATATGGAACTGGCTCCCTTGAGGATTTTCAATTTTTCACATGGCCTGCCCCAAAGTGTAAACCTCAAAGGATGGGGCACTCAGGGCCTTCCACTGACTTTCTGAATTTGTAGAAGTAATAGTTACTATTAAAATTCTACTTTGGAAACTTTACAATCCATTCACTCATCAAACATGCATGGAATGTTAACTATGTGCAAGACACTTTGAGAGGCGCTAAAGATACATCAATGAAGAAAGCAGAAACAGTTCTTCCCTGTAACTATTCCTTGTAAATAGTTACAGCGAGGAACACAAACACCTAAACAAATAATCACAAGGGTAATAGATCAATAAGTGAGTAAAAAGGTGGTTGTTAAAGCAGGAATTAAATAGAGGGCCCAAGAGTTATGGATTAAGTTATTTAGCTAGAAATTCTCCAGGACTTCCCTGGTGGTCCAGTGGTTAAGAATCCGCCTTCCATATACAGATTGCCAACAAACACATGAAAGGATGCTCAACATCACTAATCATTAGAGAAATGCAAATCAAAACTACCATGAGGTATCACCTCACACCAGTCAGAATGGCCATCATCAAAAAATCTACAAACAATAAATGCTAGAGAGGGTGTGGAGAAAAGGGAACCCTCTTGCACTGTTGGTGGGAATGTAAATTGATACAGCCACTATGGAGAACAGTATGGAGGTTCCTCAAAAAACTGAAAATAGAATTACCATATGACCCAGCAATCCCACTACTGGGCATATACCCTGAGAAAACCATAATTCAAAAAGAGTCATGTACCACCATGTTCATTGCAGCTCTATTTACAACAGCCAGGACATGGAAGCAACCTAAGTGCCCACCAACAGATGAATGGATAAAGAAGATGTGGCACATATATACAATGGAATATTACTCAGCCATAAAAAGAAACAAAATTGAGTTATCTGTAGTGAGGTGGATGGACCTAGAGTCTGTCATACAGAGTTAAGTCAGTCAGAAAGAGAAAAACAAATACTGTATGCTAACACATATATATGGAATCTGAAAAAAAACAAAAAAAAAGGTTCTGAAGAACCTAGAGGCAGGTCAGGAATAAAGATGCAGACGTAGAGAATGGACTTGAGGACATGGGGAGGGGGAAGGGTAAGCTGGGACGAAGTGAGAGAGTGGCATGGACATATATACACTACCTAATGTAACAGATAGCTAGCGGGAAGCAGCCACATAGTACAGGGAGATCAGCTTTGTGCTCTGTGACCACCTAGAGGGGTGGGATAAGGAGGGTGGGAGGGAGACGCAAGAGGGAGGAGATATGGGGATATATGTATATGTATAGCTGATTCACTTTGTTATACAGCAGAAACTTACACACCATTGTAAAGCAATTATATTCCAATAAAGATGTTAAAAAAAATCATAAAAAAAAAAAAAAAAGGAAGAATCCACCTTCCAATGCAGGGGATGCAGGTTCGATCCCTGGTAGGGGAACTAAGATCCCACATGCCGTGGGGCAACTAAGCCCACGTGCTGCAACTACAGAGCCCACACACCCTGGAGCCCGCTCACCACGACTAGAGAGAAGCCCGCACGCTGCAACGAAAGATCCCGTGTGTCGCAACTAAGACCCAATGCAGCCAAAAATAAATAAATAAATAAATATTAAAAAACGAAAGAAAGAAAGAAACTTCCTGCCTTGCTTCTCAGTATGGGGAGAGTCAAAAGCCTCCTTGCGGCTAATTTTATTTTGTGATGTCACGTAAGTTGCCTCCCTTAGTGACAGATTGCAAGATGAGGACGTACCCTATAACTGGGTATAATAGGACCTTTCTTGGGGGGTCCAACTTAAAAATAACTACCTTTTTTCTTGGTGTGCAAAACCCACTGGCCTTCTGGGAGTATTCCTTGGTATTCAAAGTTAGGGAAAACTGTTGGGATAAACCTGACATGGCACTTACCAAAGTCTTCTGTCAAGAAGGGATGCAAATGTCACCAAAAGAGTACTTGCTAGGGAGGAGCTGTCTGAGTTGGTGACCCAAGCTCAAGCCAGCCCAAGGGTTTATGGAGGAAAGGTGACTCTAGCCCAGCCTATAATCACCATGATACAAGATTATGCTCAGAGGAACAATGGGTAAACGAATGTAAACTAATGATACATTCTACAACCTGAGCAGGTCACCACAGTGCAGTAGATAATTGTGCAGGACCATCTTCAACATCAACAGTCTTTTTCAGCAACAGCTATATTGCACTTACCAGATTTCCAGTTCACTCCCCAACTGTTACATGAACCTTTAGGTTCTTAGACAACACACAAAGTGAAGGGAGAGTCCTCAAAAGGGAGATACTGACCTTTCTGGCAATAAAAGCATGTAGAAAATAATGCAATTAACTTAATAATTAAAAGAGATTTGACTACATTGGGATTTCTCTGAAAGAGTGACACTTGAGCAGAGATCTGAAGAACAACGAGCAGTTATCTCGTTGTAAAGAATACATTCCAAAAGAAGGATCAGGAAGAAACCTGGAAGATCTGAGGAAATTAAAGAGGGTCAGTATGGCTGGACTGTGAAGAAGGGCTATGCTGTTGACAGCCAAAGATGGTGAGGTTGGCAAGGGGCTGTCTCCTATAGGGCTTTGTAATCTACCTTAAGTATTTGAGGCTTTATCCTAAGAGCAATGCGAGGTAATAATTAAGCTTTAAGAGTGACATGACCAGATTTGTATTTGTAAAACATGACTTTAGTTGTAGGATGTAAGAGAACAAGAGTGGAAACGAGTAGGAAAGCCAGTTGGGAAGTTATCTGAGGAAGAATGGGTGGGTGCAGGTGCAAGTAGGTTTATAGATTTAGTTGTAGGGAATTCCCATCAAATGTCTTCCTTCTCTATGATATAGCAAGTAGAAGAGAGAGTTGACTTTGGGCATTCATAGGATTCAAGGGATGAGTAAATTCAACCCCAAAAGTCTCTTGGAAGAAAGCAGACACTCTGGCCTTACAGAATTCTGCTAAAGGCTTAGAAGGGAATTCTGGCACTTATGGATTTAGTGTTACATTATACTGCTAGGTTAAGGATTCTGTATTATTTTGTCAAAATAAATCAAAGTTTTACCCAAGAGATTAAAAGCTATATAAAGAAAAGAACTTTCCATTTGCTTGCCCTTGTACAGCAAGTGGAGGTACTCTTCCTAAGTATCACCTTCAAGCAACTTCAGATGAAAAAAGTGAGAGAACTTAGGAAATACTTTTACAGTTGACCATAGACAGACCCTGGCTAGACCATAAGAAAAGAGGGCCTTATTAAAAGCATTCTTAGCTGATGGTCCTTTCACCATTTACCAGTCACTTAGGTCAAAAAACAAAAGATAAATGCTATTCCCCAGGTCTAGTGCCACCATCAACATGGAGGAAATGATGAAAGCCCTAGATTATAGGGGAAATTCAGCAACGGTGCCTTTGGGAGAAGAAAGCTGACATTCTGTCCTCATCCCTTCAAAAACATATCCCAAGCAGAAAGAGATCTAGGATCAAAGCTATCTTTAAAGGACTAAAAGGTCTCAGAAGCACTGCTGCCTGCAGGTGTAAAAATAAAGTGACAAAAGTATACTGACAGACCAAATTAGTGATCCCTAAACTTCCTTTTAGGTTGGCCCACTACTCTTCTTATTAAGACTCTAGAAAGTCCTTGAGAGGGCACCTCCAGGAGTGTCATTTGTGAAAAACCAAGGCAACAGAAAGAACACCTAGTAAGATAATTAGTGGATTTTAGGAGAGGGAAAAAAAAAAAAACAAAGTAGTGAGAAGTACAAAGGATAGATTCTCCACCATCTAATCACTGCCACATAAAGAATATAGGTTTTACTGTGATTTACAGGCAAAGGTTAAAAAACTTCACATTTTTAACAAAAATATCCCCACCCCCATCTCCCTGGAAGTTATAACCCTCTACTTTTGTTGTAATTGGGGTTTACCTGTGGGGTTAATTTCCCACTGGAAGTAAGCCTATGAGCATCCCTACACTGCAGGCAGCATAAAACTGGGACAGAAAAAAAAAATACCTTCTGCATCAGGAGGCAGAGTTTCATAGCTGGAGTCACAAAGCCCTGGGTTCAAATCCCAGTTCTACTATTTACAAGCTATATGTCTCCGGGCAGGTTACTGAAACTCTTTGAGCCTCAGCCATCTTGTTTGTATAATAAGATTATTATAAAGAGAACATGAGACACAAGGTGCCTTAGCACAGTATCTGACACACAATAGTGCACAATAAGGGAAAGGTACTGTTAGAATTAGAAATCATAAATCCTTACCTCCATGTTCTTTTGTTCTTCTCTGCTGCCTTTGAAGAAGTCTTTGGTCTCAGATGCAACTTGTCTACCTGGAACCCCAATATCCTGTCTGCTTCTGCCTATTTATCTCTATCTACAGGACTCTGTTGTCCCTCACTCTACCAACAATCCCTGGACTTAACTTATTACCTATCCAGACCTATAAACTCTGCTGACTCACCTCTGCTGTGTATTCCCTCCCCGGCCTCCTCTTCTGCATGTTGCCTTTCATTTCCACTGTGACAAATCTGAAGTCAAGTCAGATTGTTTCCATTACTTTGAAGGCTGCCTGAAAGGCTTTATTTAACCTACAGGGGCCAGAACCATTAACTTACAGCGTAAGTTAAATGATAAATCACTCTGTACGCAGGACCACACTAAACTCCCAAAATAACTATATTTGATCCCTCCAAAATGTGACTCTCCCCTTTTACAATCACAGAAGTTGCCACAAAATGTTGCTTCTAAATGAAGACTCTTGGTTTCTGCATCTTAACTCAATACCTTAACTATTTTGAAAACTAGAAAGATGAGAAACAAAAGTCTCTAGGCTACTTAAAAAAAAAAATCTTAGACCTATATTGCTTTAAAATTACCAGAGAGTGTCTATTAGGGAACATTAAATAATTTCACTATCTCATTACTCTCAGGTTATAGTCTAAGTCCTTGATTGAATTAAATGAATCAAGAAAAGGAATTTGGAGTACTAGTAACCCAAGTTTGGTTTAATGTTTAATGTGTGGTTAGTTTAGAGGCAGTAAAGAAAGATCAAGGTCATTAGCCTTTTCTATGCTGGATATCATCTCACAGGACATCTTGATTAAATTCTGCAAATACAATCTATTGAGTCAATACTGGGTCTTGTAATAGTCATGTATGCTTTTACTACTACAAAGATGACTCTTTGATTATATTTATAATTCAAAAATTACTCTATCGCCCAAGTCTCTTTCACAGTATAATTCTTTAACTTAGTATACTTGAAATTTTGTACTTCCAAGAACAGAAAGTATTGATAGGTAATATACATAAAAAACTAGGTGATAGACTGCCCTCTAGTGGAAAGTAAAGAAATTACTGAAGATGCTTCTTTGACAGAGCTCTAATGCAGAGTTACAGCTGTCTAAATTATGACATTATTTAAATGATGTTTAAAACACTGAATAAAATTTACTTGGGATTTATTAATCAATTCAAGCTATGCAGAATAGAATAGACTAAAAGCAGAGACTGGTTCATAGCTCATCTCTGTTACTTTCTAGCTGTGTGATGTTTGTCTCAGTTTCCTCACCTGTAAAATGCGAAAAATAATATTACCTACCTCATAGGGCTGACATGAGGAGTAAAGGAGTCAACATATGAAAAGTATATAGAACATTGTGCTACAAAGTTAAGTGATATAAAATTATTGGTCATTATTATCTGTAGCTATTATAGGAGGGATTATGGCTGGAGGCAAATCATAATTTCAGAGGATACGAAGAAAAGTGAAAGAGTCCTGGTAGGAACACACTTCTTTAGGGATTAGGCTGTAACATACTAGTAGAGCATCAGCTCAGTTTGTCCTCCCATTTGCAGAAATGCATGAGCTATGCCTGTATATAACAGAACACAGGGGGAACTCAGAAGCAAGTGAACTGTATGTGGATAACATTTTGTGGGAAATACAGGGAAGTTTTTTTGTTGTCCCAATGCAAACAACGAGGAAGAATACCACATACTCTTTTAAACTAAAAACACTTGCAGCTTCAGCCCACCTGGATCTTTCAGGCTTTGGGCTCCTTTTGTACCTAATGTCTACAGCATATACAATTAGTACCTTGCTGCACACTAACCATTAGTCTCAGATTCTCTGAGTCACACATGTAGCACTTTTTCTACAATCAGTTTATTCACTGATTGGGCATATATTACAGAATTCTAACTTTTAAAAATAATATTCCGCTGCATCTAGAACAACATATCTAATTAACAACTAAAACGTGACTTCCTACAAAGTTAATAATATAATTTCCACCTCTTTTTCCAAGGAAAGCCCAAATCAGTAATTATTTTCAGCTGAAAATAATGCCCATAAAATTGAAAAATGATCTATAATTTCCAGGTACTTCTTTACCACAAATAATTGTCATCCAGAGCAAAATGGCTTGTTTTTCTCATAAAACAATATGATCACTCTAATAAAATCAATATAGTTCTTAGTTATTTCCATCACTGTCCTGAGGTGCCCTAATTCATTTAATTCAAATTTTTTATTCTGTGAACACTCCAAATTGAAATTAAAAGTTGCAATTCAGTTATTCAATACAAACACGAACCCATTAAAATGACATAAAAGTTCCTCTAAGATCTTATTCATAACATTTCCATGTATTTACTGCAAGCGAGTAAAAAGGACCAATGTATGTAATTGGAGTAATAAACTGCAGATAATGTCTTATATATGTAAAACTGCAACTCAGAAATAATTACAAAAATGAATACTACAATATGGTTAGGTAAATTCTAGAAAACTTCACACCTACTGTAATATAATTCTCTCTGTAATTTAAAGTCACTAAGAAATGTAACACTATTAAAGCATAGAGTATTTGAAGATAATTGCAAAAAATAGGCTGTTTGAAGTTTTTGGAAAATTCAAGTTTATTTGGAAATATAAAAGCAATAAAGCTACTCCATTACAGTATCTGATATTTCACTAAGCACAGTGCCATAAAAATTGTGTCCCTGAATATGTCCCTGATACCTGTCTAGAATATATAATGTAGCAGAAGGAAGATCAATTCTGATACCACAGAGGAAAAAACTCATTCTCTTACATATCCTTTGTAGACATACTTAATCAATGATGTGCCTGCTGTGTTGTCTTACTTTTCTTGTACTAAGAAAAACACTTGTATTTCTTAAGGCTGAAACAGTAACAATACAGTTCTACCAAAGATGCCAAAACACACAAGGCAACTATGTACCCAAAGACCTAAAGAAAAGTATTTATTAGTATAAGTTTCCTTTTTAGAAATTAAAAGATTTTAAAGTTCAAATAGAACAAAGCCCAGTTCTCCTAAAGAATATTTTCTAGAGAAGGCCCACAGGATGACTTCTAAGAAACATTACAAGGCATAGACTTACCAAGGTTTGTTCTGTGAGTCTCAGCCTTGCTGCACATTCTATAGAAATTGGCAAACGGGTTCCAGAATGTATTTGTAAAGACAAAGGTCCCAGAAAAGTCAAAACAATCTTGAAAAAGAAAAAAGCTGGCTTCAAGACTTGATATAAAGCGACAGTAGTCAAGACACTGTGGTATTGGGGTAAGGATAGACAAACTGATGGAACAGAACAGAGGTCAATTAATTTTCAATGAGGGTGGCAAAGTAACTCAATGAATTAGAAAAATCTTTTCAACAAATGGTGCTGAAACAACTGCATATCCATATGAAAAAAAGTTTTAACTTCAATTCCTATCTTCCACAACATACAAACATTAACTTGAAATGGATGATATGCATAAATGCGAAAGTTGAAACTAAAAAGCTTTTGGAAGAAAATAAAGAATATTTTCATGACTTTCAGATAAGTTAAAGATTTCTTAGAAAGAATATAGAAAACATTAATAATAAAAGAAAAATTGATAAATTAGACTTCATCAAAATTAAAAACTTCTGCTCCTCAAAAAACACCAATAAGAAAATGAACACGCAAGCCACGGACTGGGAGAAAATATTTATAACACATATATTTAACAAAGGACTTATATCCAGAATTATAAAGAGTTCCTACAACTCAGTTATAAAAAACATAAATAACCCATCACAAAAATGGACAAAAAACCAATACCTTACAAAGGATATATGAACGGCCAATAAGCATATGAAAAAATTCACAAAATCGTTAGTCATTAGATGGATGAAAGTGAAAACCACAATGAGATATTCCTACACACCCTTCAGAAAAGTTAAAATTAAAAAGACTAACAAAACCAAATACTGGGGAGGATGTGGAACAACAATAACCTTCTCATGTTGCTGCTGAGAATATAAAATGGTACAATCAGTTTAGGAAACAGTTTGACACTTTCTTATAAAGTTAAACATACATCTAGCCTATGAACAAGAAATTCAATTTGGTACATCCTAGGTATACACCAAAGAAAAATAAAAACATATGTCCACAAAAAGCCTTACACAAATATGTCCTCAGCAGTTTTATTTGTGATGGCCAAAGACTGCACACACCCAAATGTCTACCAACAGGTGAATGGGTAAATAGATTGTGGTACATCCATACAATGGAATACTGCCCAGCAATAAGAAGGAATAAATGATTGATACAGACAACAACATGGATGAATATCAAAGTAAATACACTGAGCAAAAGAAGGCAGACCCAAAAAAAGCATACTATATGATTCCAATTACAAAAAGTTCTAGAAGATGCAAATTAATCTTTAGTGACAAAAAATGATCAGGGGTTGCCTAGAAACGGGGATTTGGCATAGAGAGGCAGGAAGAAGGTGTTAAAAGGGGCATGAGGGAACTTTTGAGAGTGATGGGTATGTTTATTATCTTGATTGTGGTGATGGTTTCACAGGTGTACACATACATCAAAATTAATCAAATTGTACACTTTAAGCACATACAATTTATTGTATGTCACTTATATATCAATAAAGCTGTTAAAAATACACACACACATATGCACACACTGGAGATATCTACTTCCAGTCAAGATGGAATAACAGGTGACATATTTACCCTTTTGCCTTAAACTGCTAGAAAACTGGACAAAATATGTGATACAACAGTTTTCAGATATCACACAACAGACAACACAGGGTTGTGTTAGCTGGGAGAAAGAAAACAAACACAGTGAGTTCTACAATTGTACCAGCTTACTGCCTAGAAGCAGTTTCCAGAATGCAGTACAAGGAGGAGGAACCTCCACTGCCCCCCAACCAAAAAAAAAAAAAAAAAAAGCCCAGCAGTCCAACTTAGTTGTACGAGGAAACTCACAAAAAGAGAGCTCCAGAGATTTACAGAAAGGTGCATGTGAGTCTCTGGCTAAGAGCTGACATGCACATGTGTGAGACCCAAACTACCCAATATAGATAAAGATGGAAGACTTTATGCTATGTGAAATAAACCAGATACAAAAGGACAAACATTGTATGATTCTACTTACATGAAATACCTAGAACAGGCAAATTCATAGAGACAGAAAGTAGATTAGAGGTTAGCAGAGACTGGGGGAGGAGAAAATGGGAAGTTATTGCTCAGTAGTTACAGAGTTTCTTTGGGGTGATAAAGTTTTGGAACCACATGGCAGTGACAGTTGCACAATATCATAAATATAATTAATGCCATTTAATTGTATGCTTAAAATGACAACTTTTATGTCATATGTATTTTACCACAATAAAAAATTAATTTTTTAGGGCTTCCCTGGTGGCGCAGTGGTTGAAGTCCCACGGGTTCGTGCCCCAGTCCGGGAGGATCCCACATGCCGCAGAGCGGCTGGGCCCGTGAGCCGTGGCCGCTGAGCCTGCACGTCTGGAGCCTGTGCTCCGCAACAGGAGAGGCCACGGAAGTGAGAGGCCCGCATTCCGCAAAAGAAAAAAAAAAATTAATTTTTAAAAAACCCTACCCAAGGCTGAGGCAGTGGCTGGGGTTGGGGGATGGAGGGGAGAGGCAGCCTTGAGAA